TCGAACGGTTCTCAAAATCAGACTTCCATATACAATGTCACTGGTTCGCAAAATCAAACATTCATATACAATGCTCATGACAATAGAAAAATGTACATAAAACCCTCAAATCTAAACAAAATGAGAATTCTCACCTACTGTATCTCCAATGTGGAGTTGTTTCCACCGATGTCTTTGATGAAACAGAGAATAGAGGGGGAGATGAAAGATTGTGGGTAAGGTGTGTGAGTAAGGGTAAAGATGGAAGATTGTGGTATGTATTGAGCAAATTGTGTATTTATCAAATTACTAAAAGTGTGCCTTAAGTAGTGGTGTGCCTTGAGATGAAAGGTGGTGTGTAAATAGAGGCATCCCTCACCTCGTTCATTTTTTTTTTAATTCCAATTTTGTCCCAATCTAAAATTTCACTTTTACCCTTATTCCTAATCTTCTAAACCTAATTTTCCAAACTTTAACCTAGCCCTAATCACCTCTGGCAATACCATCATCTTCGACCACCTCTCACCGCCACAATTACCACAATTTCCGACCACCCCGCATCATTGCAACCTCTACTATCTCTAACCACTCCTCACTATCACAACCACCACTTTTTCTGACGCAATTAGCCATTATCTCCATCGACAAGCAACCCCATCCCCTATTGCAGATTTGAATCAGAGAAGAAAGATCGACCTATTCAATACTATGTTATCGAACTAAAAGGATTCGTTTAGCATTGTGTTTCCAAACATTTAGGATTCGTTCAATACTCTGTTGTCGAACATTCAGAATTTGTTTTAGCACTGTGTTGCCGAACCCACTCTACCATCGTGACTTCCCTATCCATTGCGAGAGAGAACGAACAAGAGAGAGAGAGAGAGAGAGAGAGAGAGAGATGGAAACCTAAGGTTTTCAAAAGAAGAAGAATAAAAGAGAGGGGGGAGAAAGAATGCAAGAAATCACTTGTCATAGCCGGTGATAGAGGTTTTAATGGTGACCATTATTGATGTGTCTTTTCTCTTACTCTGTTTCTCACTCATATTTGATTTGAATGCAAGAAAACAAAGAAAATAAAGAGATAATCCATATTAGAAAGAGAAGTGGGGGTTTGGGTTTGGGTTTCGTTTGGGTTTTGGGATTAGGGGTATAGTTGGTATTAAAGTGGGGGTTTAAAGAAAAAATGTAAGGACTTTATTTTGTTAGCTGGAAGTTTAAAGAAATGGATAAGTCAAAGTAATTAAGGCATCGTTTGGCAAGTGTCCATTTTAGTCAAAAAGTCAAAAAATTATTAAAAAATTCAAAAAACCAACAACTCATACAAAAAAGTTAAAGATTTATTTTTTTTTCTCTACTTTTTACACATATTTTCGTAAAAAGTCAAAAAATCATCATAAATATACTAATTTTTTTTACATCACAGTTTAGTAAAAAAATTACTATAAAAATTTGTTTCCAAACGAGCCTTAAGTAAGAGTAAATATTAGCCCTCTTCTTTTATTAACTTTTGAATAATTAACTCATTGTAATTGATTTAAGTTATTTTTTACCAAATAGTTAGAAAGAAAAGTTATAACAAATTGGCTGACACATTTTAAAAACCAAATAAACAGCCGCTTTGAAGTCTGCACATTTCGTCAACGCGATTTGTAGGGAGAGATTGAGGACTTTATTTTAGGGGTGCAATTCGGGCGGGCTCAACCCGAGCAACCCGAGCTCAGCCCGAGTTTTTTTAGGGCTTGGGCAACTATATCTTGTAATTTGGACGGGCTTGGGCAGATTTTTGATGCCCGAATTGCAATTCGGGCCGGGCTTGGACAGAACCAATGGCCAACCCGAGCAACCCGAACCCGAATTCAATTTAATATATTATATAAATTATATAATATATAATATATAATATATATATAATTTAATAAATTATGTAATATATATAAATTAAGTAAAAGAGTTAGTCTTAATTTTTATTTTTTATTTTTTTTTGGTTAGTTTTCTACCATTAGATTAGCATCTTTTATGTCTACCCTTAGATCTACCTACAGGTTTCTGAACTCGGGCAATTCGGGCAACCCGAGTTCAAAATACAAAGCTTGGGCCGGGCTTGGGCAACAATGTTCGGGTTCATGGTCGGGCTTGGGCGGGCTTGGGCAGTGCCAAATATAATTCGGGTCGGGCTTGGGCAGACCCCCAACCCGACCGAACCCGCCCGAGTTGCACCCCTACTTTATTTGCACAGGACATGAGGGATAACCATTTGACCCTTATTAGAACCCTTCCAACCCAACGTCAACGCGGTTTGTAGGCATTCAATTTCCTTTTCACTAACAAACTTATCCCCTTCCCATAACCCAAACAAACGGGGCCCGACGTCAACGCGGTTTGTAGGCATTCAATTTCCTTTTCACTAACAAACTTATCCCCTTCCCATAACCCAAACAAACGGGGCCCGAGGACTTTCTTTGAACTTACCTTGAACCCCATAATAATATATTAGTGGCTCGGAAAAAAAGAAAGGGAACTGTCTAGTTGACAGGAAAAAAATATTATAAAATTATAAAAAAGTATAGTGTTTTAATTATTAAAATGTATAAGTTCTTTCATTGATTTGTAAATTTATTTATTTATTTATTTTTGTTGCACTGGACAGTTATTTTCTCAAAAAAAAATTGTATTCAGGCCATGTTTGGTTTTTTGATTTGTTTCTGATTAAACTAGTTAATAAAAATCATAAAAAAAAAGATTGAAATAAGTAATAAGATAAAATGTCACATTTTACATAAAAATTAATTATTTATTTATTTCATAAGCATCTATTCAACTATTAAAAAAAAAATTATAAATCATCTTGAATATAATTTTTTGTTTTATCTCATAAAACAATAAAAAAAAAAAAAAAAAACAACTATCATCTCAAAAACAACTAAAATAAATAAGTCCCACACCGGCCCTTAGTGGTCCCCTTTCTTGGTTTATTTGTAAATAAAGCTAATGACCCCGGTAGGTCGAGGTCCCCTGATAAGTTATTCTCAGAAAATGGCCGAATCTGATGGATGTGATATCCCTTTTGATTACAGTAGCAGCGATGAAGATGAAGAAGGAAGAGTAGCAGCCTATTTCCCTGACGATTTCAAGCAATATCTGGATACTCAACTCAACCGCTGCCCAGTGGTGTATTGTATCTTCCGTGGATGGGTTTTCTGGAGCCGAGAAGACGACCAATCCGAACATCCTCCGAGTGAGTGGGACTTTTATGTCTCTTCTCTTTCTCTCTTCTTCTTCCTCCTCCTCCTTTGAATACGGCTTTTATTTATTTAATTTGTAATAATGGAGTTTAATTTATAAGTCAATTTTAAATCAACACAGTTACTACCACCTGCTTTTCAAATCTCACTTCTCTCCTCCAATTTTGTTTTTTTTTTTTTTCTTTTTTTGTTATTATTAATCAGATATTTTGGATTTAAAAAAGAAGATCAAAGATGTCCTTCGACACTGTTTGCACTATATGTTTGGATATCCAACACTAGTTCAATTTTGGGCACCCACAATGACAATGGATGGCCGGTCTTATCTTACAACTCAAAACCAACCTTTCGCTCTTTATACATCTGATATCATGCGTGATGATGTTAAAGGACATGTTAAAGGAGTTTGTGGGTATAGGATGATCTCTATGGACTATAAATTTTGCATGGATAGAGAGAGTTCTGATGAACAACTTGGGGTTCCTGGCCGTGTGTTCAACTATGGATTTCCCGAATTCTCTCCCAATGTAGAATATTACTCTATCAAAGAGTATCCATTGCGCGACCATGCTTTACTTTGCCAAATTGAACAATCTTCGGCTATACCACTGTTTGATCCTTCTACCCACTTATGTGTTGGTGTACTTGAGATAGTTTCAACAGCGCCCTCACAGGAATTTATATACGGCTACAACTTGGATTTGCATAATTATTTGAAGGTTAGTCCCGCAACTCACAAATTGGCATTTTTTTGTCTTTCTAATCTTGATTGATTAACTCCCCTCTCTCCTTTCTTACATGTACGCAGAATTGTGCTCCTTTGATAATTTAAATTTAAAAGAATAAAAAATTATCAAAAAAGTAAAAAAATAGATTAGAAGTGTGTTTTTAATAGAGTAAATTACAAAAATATAGTTTGTTTAAAATACAGATTGTCCCTGTGATTCTGGAAAGTACATCAAGCCTCTTCAAGTTTCTTCAAGTTTCTAATTGTATAACAAATGACTTCTTTTATTAATAAATCATCAACTGTGGTGTAGTATCTGGCCCATTAGATCGACTAATCCATTAGACCCAACAATTTTTTTCCTTTAATCTTTTAGTTTGTGCATATTTGATCCTATTATAATGGAAGATGGCTACGTGCTCCTCGTGTCAATTTTGCATAAAATTTGTAGTTTTTTAGACCAACTAAACACAAATTAGAAAAATCAAAGCGCTAATCTTTTGAAATCGATATTAATCGGACTAAAAAAATTAATACAGGATGAAGCTAGGATGAAGCTAGATGGACCATTAGCACAACTATTATTTGTTCTTTTTTTTCATCTTGTCAGTGCCAAATGGCATGTGAGGAGTATGTAATTGCATTATTTCCTCACGGTTGTCATCAATATCAATGTGACACAAAATGTAAAATTAAATGGTAAATTGTTATAATTAAAATTATAAGATCCAAAAAGATACAATGAATGAACTATTGATTTGAGGATAAGATTGTTGTTTATCTTATCAGCATGACCTCCTATGGTAGAAAGAAAGCAAAGCAAAGCAAACTGTCAAGTTGTACTTTTTTATTGCATTCCATGCTCATTTAGCTGTGACTGAATTGTTTTTCCATTATAGTCTCTTATATGCTTCCTTTTCTTGGCAAACAAATATTCTACATTCCCACCGCAAGAAACACTGTAAGAAACAACGGCAGACGATCCGAACTCCTGCAGTAGGTAGGTCTGGAACCTTCAATTTCACATGCAGAACATTGCACTGATTAGTAAATGGTACACTGCAATGTCATGTCAAATTTGATATTTTATTTTATTTTTTAAACTAATATGATGAGGAATATCTTCTGACAATACTTTTCAACCAGAATGTGAGACAAAGTGAAGCCTTAGATGAAATCAACAAGGTGTTGAAAGTAGTGTGTGAAGATCATGATTTACCTTTGGCTCAAGCATGGGTCCTGTGCGAGTGTACATGCAGGGCTCTGGTTAAGGGTGACATTTTCCATGTGATTCGCAATTGCAATAATGGAATTGAGTACTACAAATTCTTGGCGGTCAACAGAGTATCTCACTTAAGAAAGTGGCAAGGAGTTGTTGGGAGAGCATTCTCGTCCCCTGATGTATTATTTTGCAAGGATGTAACCCAACTTAGCATAATTAACTACCCATTGGCACACTTTGCACGGGATGAAGAATTAGGTGGTTGTTTCGCAATATGCTTGCAAAGTAGTTGCATTGGAAATGACATTTACGTGTTAGAGTGCTTTATGCCGCCAAGCAACAAAGACTATGGTAATCAACAGACTGCATTGAGGAAAATATTGGAAACAATGAAGAAAAATTTCCAAACTTTTAAGCTTGCTTCTGGAGAAGAACTTGGGGAACATTTATATATAGCAGAAATTCATTTTCAGAATGGTGAGAAATTTGATTCTGTTCAAATGTCCCAGACTACTAAATCTTTGCCTAGGCTGGAGCCCTTACAAAGTGGAGGAGAGATGACACAACTAGATTTATCGAATCAACAATCAATGGATGCGTTAAATAATGAAAGCAATGTTGTAAGTGCGGAAAGAAGCAACATTGATGTTACTTGTTCACAGGAAAAAGGCAAAACCAAGAGGCCAAAAAGAGTGCACAATAAAAGGGGAGTTAAAATTGAAATTCCTCTAGATGATATCTTACAAAATTCAAAAAAGAGCATCCAGGCTGCTGCAGATAACCTCAAAGGTATCTGCACTCTTAACAAATTAAAATAAAATATTGCTTGTGATTTTACTTATTATTTTCAACTCGACACTTCTCGTAAAGAAATATTTGGCATTTTTCACCAACAGACATAAAGTTGTGTCTCTTACTTAGATTCTTCCTTTTGCAGTTAGCCGATCTACACTAAAGCGTGTTTGTAGGGGTTATGGTGTCCCAAGTTGGCCACCATGCAAGAAGAATATGGTTGGTTCCTTTCAACCTAGTGAATCTTCCCCGGGTGTTGATCATCAACAAATACCACAATTAAGTTTTGATCTGCCTTTCAATCAAGCCTCAACTACTGTTGTTCACGCAAACGCACATAATATAGCAATCGAAGATGCAAATAGTGTGACCATAAGGGCAAAATATATAAATGATATTACAATAAGGTTTCGGCTGTCTTTGTCATCAGGACTGGTTGAGTTGCAACAACAAATAGCCAAGAGGCTGCGCTTAGAAGCTAGAAGTTATTATGTCAAGTATAAAGATGAGGAAGATCACGTGATTTTAATAGCTTGCGATGACGACTTGCAGGATTGTATTAGCACTTACAAATTGCTGGGAACTTCCATCGTGGTATTGATTGATCCAAAGTAGTCAATTACCACTGATCAACTTGAATCATCTCAGTTTTTTTTGTTGCTGCTATATTTTTTTTTGTTCTATCTTTTGATTCTTGAGATAGTTGTTGGACTATCATGCCTTGTTTCCTCTGTTTCAGGAACGTTGGGAGTGTTTTGGGTTTTTTTTGGTTTCCTCTTGGCAGTTGGATTCTGGCCAACTATTTCATTCTCCCCTTTTGTAATGTTGTATTAGCATTAATAAAATGTTACTTTCTTTGCTGATAAAAAAATAAATAAATAAAAAATTCACTTCATCAGAATGAACCTCAAATGATGCAGTTATTTCCTGTTTATATGGAAAATGCACAATAGCAGAAGTGTTCATTGACTCCATCATCAACGTTTAGGTTAAAAATGAAAGGCAGGATACAAAAGCCCCATAAAAATTCAAACTCAATTAAATGCAAAGGCAAAACATCTGATTCTTTGAAGCACAAAAACAATTTAAATCAATTATGGTTGAGACCAAAGCTTGTAAAAAAAATTTAGGATAAATTATGTTGGGTATGCAAACAACCTTCAATAGAAAGCCCAAGCCTGGGGGTGGGCCCTCGCAACAAAATTTTTTCAAGCTTGTTTGGCTATTTTTAGCCCGTAGACTTTTACCCTATATAATGTAATAGTGTTTATACATTTTAGGGTTAGAGAGAGAAGAGATACTGCTGCCATTTTTTAGTGTGAGGGAGAAAAAGGGTGTTTGTAATTCTATACTCAACATAGTGAATTGGTGTAGCTACTGAGAATATAGGCACGTTGCCGAACTTCGTGTATTTGTGTGTTTTGTCTATTTATTTTTTCTGTAATTCATAATTTCCAAGATTCATAGGGTTTAGGAGTTGAACACGTAGTTTAAATCCTAAGAAAATACACTAACCTCTCCTAAGTTTTAGAGAAAATATAGAAAGTCTTACAAGTTTGGTATAATTATACTGGACTCCTTTATGGTTTTAATTCATCACTTACCTCTTTTTTCATAAGAAATTCATTAGTCGTATAAATGAAAAAATATTGTTTTCATCTCTCTTACATTAAATCTATATTTCACATTGTATATTTTTTTGTCTTTATACCATCTGCATTAATTTTAGTCTCTTTAATTTTACTAACAATGAGATCAGTGTAATTATTTTAAGAAACCTCTATCTAAAAATTAAATTAGAGTTAGAGCTTGTAAAAACATATTTTCAATTAAAGACATCATTCAAATTAAAAATAACATTTAATATTACAAACTATTAATAAATCCAACTCCTCTCACTCAAAAAAAAATGTAATGCATTATGAAAATATAATCTAAATTTTATTATGAAAAGTGAGTGTACGGAGTAAATTTAAAATTAGTGGGATATAGATCACACTCAGAATAAATGTAATCTATTGATTTAGTTTTTTAGGTAATTTTTTTTATGTGTTTATAGTATTATTGTATATTAATTATAGGATCTTGTATTACAATATATATGTATATATATGTGGGAAATTTTATGATACACACTCCTCCAAGGGTGTGTACCATATGTACCCTATCACAAATTAGCATAATTTTATCACAAAATTTCGTAACATCAATCACAAATGTATAACATCCTCACAAATTGGCATAACAAAAATATTATAACAAAATCACAAACGTTTGTTACATAAACCACTAAATTTTGAACATTTTATTACGTTAATTTATGATGAGATTACATATTTTATAACTAGTGTATGCTCGTACCAAAAGGCACAATGTAAATAATTTTGGAATTAAAATGCAATTGTAAAAAAGACACAGCCTTTTTTTGATAAAGATACTAAAAAAATATTAAAAAAAATATTATTCTTCTTAACAACTTGTAACAATTTTATTTGTACCACATGCTGTACAGAACTCAAATAAAATTATTCATTCACCTTATCAACAATTGCTTCAACCGCATCATTAGAAAGTGTCAAATCCAATTCGTTCAGAAGAGCCAATACCAACTCCTTCAACTTCAAGGTTATAAAAAAAAAAATTACATTTATTTTTGCAATTAAAATATATGGGTGATTATAACATTGTGAGCTAGTATAGATTAGACCAATACATGCATTATATAGTTTCAAACAAAGGCTTCGTCCGCTTATTACTCTAATATTTTTTCCAGTAACCAGTATATAGGAATAAACAAAATGCATATTCCAAAACATATCATGTTACTGACTTCCTGTAAAAGGGAAACCTAGAGAGGGTTGTGCAAGATGTTAACAACCTAGTAAATTTAAATGTCCAGCATGGGTGGACACAGCTTGAGTGTTGTATATCATTGAAAAATTATGTATTGAGAAAGGTGAAATAGCACTTAAAAAAGGTAATTTTTACCGGAAATAGGAAAAGATAATTTAGCTAGCCAAAGAAAGCAGTTTCTGAGAATTATAAGAGATAAATTGCGATAAATGTTTTCGAGACATTCACCTCATCACGCTCTATGTAGCCAGTGCACCTTAGATCATACAATCTGAATACAACTGCAATAAAATTCCTCCCAAAGTTAGTGGTGGTGCATTTGGGGGGAAAATCTTCTAGAGATGACACAGTAGTACATATGGGAACAAGAAGACATATCATCATTATATGAAATAAAATTAGAAAAAAAAAGAAGAAGAAAAAAGCTGAAATAAGAGACTCTGTCATGGCTGTCTAACATGCAACTTTTTCTGCTTCAGGAGCATTTGGGTGGAAGATGCTTAATGATCTAACAAATTCTCCAAATTCAATAACCCCATTCTGCTTAAGGTCAAACAAATCGAATAACTGCAACAAATTGAAACAAAAATTGTGAATGACTTTAGCTTGCTGAATACTCGTATGGTGAGGATCCATAACATAATGGTGACCTTCAAGAGTTTTGTTTTATCATTCGTATGTGGCCAGATGAGCTAAATGGTATATAACACTTTATTCCCTTTATTCCCTTAAACTACCAAGTTGAAGACAACTTTAAGACATAAAGACACCTTGCAAAATGCTTTAAAGCATAAAAACATCATGAAGCATATTTATTTGTTGCTGCTGCTAATCTCCTAAGGGTTGACAATTACATTAAGCTAATGATTTTGCATAGATTCTCCTTTATATATTTCACAAAAAAGGAGGGGGGACAAAAGTTTGCTACCATATATAACTAATAAAATTACATATTAAAATTTACTTATATAGATAGCAAAATCCAGTTTATAATAAAGAAAAAGACCAAAACCAAACTAAAATATCAAATAAAAATTGAACAAATTGTAGCACAGTATCACTTAACTCTCCTTGCATTTTTAGTCGCAAAATTGTATAATCTATCATATCATTTTCAATGAATAACATTGCTAATCTATTTAATGTTTCTTGTGACATGGTTGACTGAATATAAGATTTTACCAACTTTAACTTTGAAGAACTTTTGTCCCCAAAAACTGTGACTGGTATAGCCAACAATATTCATTTGGGACCATTGCTTTGGATTGGGCCCTTTTTTATTTGAGGTTTAATAAGCAAACAAAAACATTTCTCGGCCCTAAATTTCAACAAAAAGTTGGGGGGCCCTAGATGGAGGCCTTGCCTGCCTATGCCTAGGGTCAGCCCTCCTCTTAATGAGAAATACCATAAGATAAGATACTTAGAAAAAAAAAATATTAAAATGATTAAAGAAGCCAGGATGTATATACGGACTCTGTCTGCCAAGAGACTTTGCTTGCTGCCGTTGTCGAAGAGTGCAAGTTGGAACTCTTCCTGTTCACGAAATTTCAAAAAGATAGAAATAATTAAGCACTTGGTGCATAGAACTTATCAGTGACCAATTAAAGAGCCAAAAATCCTAACTAACTTAGTAGAAAAACAAATCACAATATCCAGAATCTGGAACTTGAACTAGGTGATATAAAAGCATAAATCACAAACTTCATATCAAGAACTGCACTAAAGATACCTTGTGAATAAGACCATCGTCAATTATAGAACTGCTTAGTTTGTTGTATAGATCATGCAAAGCCTCTACTTCATTTACAGTAACTGCCAAATAAACGAAAGTGCCTTAGTTTTAGATGTCTTTTGGGTCAATTTAAGTTATCTACTAAGAAGAGGTTTAGCAAACTAGAGCTTCTATACTCACAAGTTGTTTCAGAAGCAAGAATGGCATGATCTCCAGACCCCGGTTTATGTACAGCTTTCTTCAACCGAAAGCAGCCCAAGAAAGAACGCATAATTCAATTGAAGATTTGTGAATCTGGGAAGTATAAGCCAACAGTGCTATTCAAGTGCATGCTCCTGTAATAAGAGGTGAAGAAAATGCATTACAATCTTTGAAAACGGGCCTCAAATTTGTGAACTGTTATCCTAATAATTAAGTATTCAGTTGGAATTGCAATTACCAGCAAGAACGAACACATTCATACATTTCATGAAATTAATAATATTTTCCACAGTTGACTACAGCAATCAAAAGAATACTAAAGTAGCTAACTATGGGAATACATAACGAAGCGAATCATGAAAATATGAAGGGTTTGTCAATCATAAAGCAATTACCCATTTTGTAAACAGATAACAATTATCTATTCAAGCAACCTGTTCTATAGTGTAACAAACTTCTTAAAATTCAGCTGAATTATGGTTCACCATGAGTTTTTTTTTTTTTTTTTTTTTTTTGGAGATAAAGGAAAATAAAAGCAACTCTCTCATATTGCTGCCCAATCACTTGTTTGGATAGGTTACCAGGAGGAAAATGAAGAGAAACCAAAATCACTTAAGAGCCACTTTTTGAATTTGGAGAGATTGGGGAGAAAAGAAATGAGGATTAGTAAGTGCCTGTTTTGCCCCTCTCATTCACAAAACACAAATTTATTATCTTTTTTTTTTTTTTCTTTTGCCCCACTCCTTCCTTTTCTTTTGTCTCATAAACTATCAAAACAAAAAGGAAGGATACTACTCTTCTTTCTTTTCCTCTCTCCTAGTTTTCCAAACAGACTCTAAATGTAATGTTTTCTAGCATGCATTGTGCACTGATCTAGAGCCTCTCAACAGGAGAAACAATAAAAAGAAAAGTGAGAGATTTCAAAAGGGGCACCATAGCACCTTTTGGAGGTTTAGGAAGCCCATAGGCACACAAGTACCATTCAAAACATTAGTAGCACTTTCAAGAGAAAAATACAAAAACTATCTGCCTTTCTATCTGATGCATTCCTCGAATGCTCGGCAACACTAGCATTCTAAATGGATACACGATGTTTCAAGCATCAAATTACATTCAAGGGGCAAGAAAGTTAAGATACAATGACTGTAAAATTCTCTAACAAAACAGAAATTCAAAATCACCCCTATGAAATATGTAAATGTAATCAAAGTAAAAATTATAAATAAAAAAAGGAAAACGGACGGCGAACAAACTTTTTCATATTAATTTCAAGTAAAACACATATAGCAAAGGGAAAGGGGGCAAAAAAAACTATAGGAGTACAAATTATCCTGCACCCAATTTTCCAAATGAATATTATTCTGCCAAATTGATATAGAACTAGAGATACGAGAAATCTAGGTGGGTCAGCTATGTATTTTGATCTTGAATTTGCAGAAGAAAAAAAAAGGGTCCACAAATCAAAGACACAAACACAGCACAATTTTTTAACAGTGATCTGTTGCAGCTTAAGTGAATCTTGCTTAAATGTTATGTATGCCAAAAGAGGAGCATGTAGGACCCAAATACATGGTAGAAGCAATGAAAAATGGCACTTTTTTTTAACTTTTCAGGTGTCTGCTAAATCTAATACCAATGCTAATAACTGTATTTATTAACCTTTACATAACCAAGAAAGCTTCAATTTAAACAGTTATTAGCAACAGAAAGAACTGTCAAACCAAAAGCATATTACATATAATGGGTTTTTAAAGCTATCTATGAACATAACACCATAATCATACTAACCAGAGATGAATGAGTTGATGGGTCTTGATGATGATGTGAACAGAGAGAGATTGTTGTTGTTGTTGTTGTTGTTGGTTGCTGTGAGACTAGCAGAAATAGTCATGGTTTGAAAATGTTGGGCATTGACAAAGCCAGTTCATTTCCTTATAGTCGCTTTCTGTAGTCGAATATATTCCTGAATCCACTACAATTATTGAGCAAAAATATTGCTTATAAATGTTCTGTTCGTGTATTACATTGAGATTTGCGTCAGGATTGGGGGAAAAAAAAAAATTCAAAAAGATGATCTGATTGCGCACGAATTCCCTCTTTGAATTTTCTCGTTGACTCTTTATTTGATGGATCATTGGATTTATTTTTAGACTTAATTTTGAGCTTAATTTTAATAATTTAAATTATTTATATTTTAAAATTTGTCATGTATATTATATCTGTAAATCAAATTGATCGAAAATAGAAAGAACTAAAAATTATTTATTAAAAAAATTTAATAAACGATTTTATTATTTAATAAAACTTTTGATTTATGCAATTTTTGATATCTGATCGATTTGATTTTTTATAAGTATGATATATATAACAAATTTTAAAATACGAACGGTTCAAATCATTAAAATTAGACTTAAAAGTCAATCTAATAACCCACCAAATAAGAAGTTAAGTAGGAATAGGAAAAAATCGTTGCTCGATATGATTAGGCTGACTTGTACAGTTTCTTTTAGTGTAATATATTTCACCACAGTAGGACAGATTAAAGAATATAAAAATATGCAGATTATATGTAATTTTATAAGGGCATGATTTATGTTCAGTCCTTAATTGAATTGGACTGTGTTGTTAAGCCCGTGAGGGTCCGCCACGGGTCTCGTTTTGATAGTCTGAATATAGAACTCGTCGAGTATTATATGCTTGTAAAAAATCACGTTAATCGGATATCGATAGCTATGTGATCAAATCAATTTTGTATAAAAAAATGGATGGTGAATAAATTACGGTTGACAAAAATCTATTTTGATCACATAGCTATCGATATCCGATCAACGTAATTTTTTACAAGAATATAGTACTCGACCAGTTCTATACATTAAACGGTTCAGATTATCAAAACGGGACTCGTGATGGACCACCACAGATCTAACTGTACAATTCAATCCGATTAAAGACCGAACAGAAGCCCTTCCCATTTTATAATGGGGAGTAAGTGGAAGACTGCAACATTTGTGTAAAAAAGAAATTCTGTCTCACTACTGGAAGGTAATTCTCCCTTCCTTCAATTCATGATTCGGTTTTTGAAATAAGTGAATTGCACTTTATGATTTATTCTATAATTTATAATTATGAATTTAATTTTAAATGAATCAAATCATTTACGCCACCGCTACGTTAATTTAAATATCGATAATTTTAGTTTTCTTAATTGATCTCAGATGTTTAATTTAAATTTTTCAAAAATTGCATTTTTTATTTTTTGTATTTTTATTTTTAATGAATATTTTAAAATTTTTAAGCAATTTTTTATTTTTTAGATACACCTTACTTAGATGTATCTAAAAAGTAAAATATTTAAAAAAAAATGTTTTAAAAAATCAATAAATACATAAGAATATAAAAAATATACTGAATTTTCATATTTTTTTATATTTTTGGTATTTAGTGAATTGTTTAAAAAAAAATTTACAAATATTATACTTTTTAAGTGTATTTATATTAGGTATATTTTAAAAAAATTTAAAAAAATGCTTGGAATATTAAAAAATTAAATGAAAACCAAAAAATACGAAAAATAAAAAATTTCAGGTAGCGTTTGGTAAAGTTTTAGAATTATGATTTGAGAATAGAATTATATTTTGAGTTTGTGAGTTTTGAAATTATGATTTGATTGTGAAAAATTTGTTTGATTATGAGTTTTGAAAAAAGTTTTAAATTGAGTTTGAAATTTTTGATGTGGCATATGATATTTGATTAAAAAACTTACAACTCACAACCAAACACACAATTCAAAATTCTATTCAAAGCTCATAAAAATTTAAAAAAAAATCGAAAATATTTTTTATTTAAAATATAAAAATGGCAGGTGCCAAAAAAAAAATGAACACTGTTCCGGTCAATCGGCCTGCCAGAAGTCTGGGCGGATGACCGGATAGACATATTTTCAACAGTGGGTGTGGAATTAATTTTTGAAAACTCTCACCGAACACCACACTCAAACCAATGGATGTGTTAATGTAAATTGTGTAAATGTAAATTACCACTACCACTCACTCCACCTACCACCTCCACTACCACCCACTCCACCTACCACCTCCACTACCACCTTCACCTACTCCCAAATCCTCTCCTATATAAATCCTTGTAATATACACAATATACACAACAATCAATAATACAATCAATTTTATACATTGAATTTTACAAGATGAAATTAAATTTACAAAGCTCTACCAAATAAAGTTTTAATTTTTTAAAAAGTGAATTCTGAAACTTCGAACCAAACCAGCTGAATATTTTCAAAGTTGAATTTTTATTTGTATTTTTTTATTTTTAAATCTAGAAGTTCGACAAGTTTCGTAATTTATTTTAGTATTATATACACCCAGTCAATGGGTATTAAACGTAAAAATTATAAATAAAAAGAGGAAAAAGGACGGCGAAGAAATTTTTTCATATTAATTTCAACTAAAACACATAGAGCAAAGGGAAAGGGAGCAAACACTATTGGAGTACAAATTATCCTGCACCCAATTTTCCAAATGAATATTATTTTGCCAAATTGATATAGAACTAGAGATATGAGAAATCTAGGTAGGTCAACTATGTGTTTGATCTTGAATTTGCAGAAGACAAAAAAAGGGTCCACAAATCAAAGACAAAAACACAGCACAATTTTTTAAGAGTGATCTGTTGCATTTTGGTTGAGAAGGGATACTACTGTGCCTAAGGCACAGCAGTTACTGTTGTATCATTTGTGGGAAATTGTCTCGAGTGTTTTTCGATCATTTGAATAGTTCATATTATAGGGTTCGTCGAGTAGATCATCTATACAAAAAATCAAATTAATTGAATATTTGTAACCCTATACCCAAAGCACATTTGTTTTTATAAAAACTAACGGCTAACATAACATTTATAAATTTTTAAAAATAATTAGGACCTAATCATGGGGTCCACAAATCAAAGACACAAACACAGCACAATTTTTTAACAGTGATCTGTTGCAGCTTAAGTGAATCTTGCTTAAATGTTATGTATGCCAAAAGAGGAGCATGTAGGACCCAAATACATGGTAGAAGCAATGAAAAATGGCACTTTTTTTTAACTTTTCAGGTGTCTGCTAAATCTAATACCAATGCTAATAACTGTATTTATTAACCTTTACATAACCAAGAAAGCTTCAATTTAAACAGTTATTAGCAACAGAAAGAACTGTCAAACCAAAAGCATATTACATATAATGGGTTTTTAAAGCTATCTATGAACATAACACCATAATCATACTAACCAGAGATGAATGAGTTGATGGGTCTTGATGATGATGTGAACAGAGAGAGATTGTTGTTGTTGTTGTTGTTGTTTGCTGTGAGACTAGCAGAAATAGTCATGGTTTGAAAATGTTGGGCATTGACAAAGCCAGTTCATTTCCTTATAGTCGCTTTCTGTAGTCGAATATATTCCTGAATCCACTACAATTATTGAGCAAAAATATTGCTTATAAATGTTCTGTTCGTGTACTTTAAAAGTAATGCAATTTTAAACGTTTAAATAGTACATTGAGATTTGCGTCAGGATTGGGAAAAAAAAAAAAAATTCAAAAAGATGATCTGATTGCGCACGAATTCCCTCTTTCAATTTTCTCCTTCACTCTTTATTTGATGGATCATTAGATTTTAGACTTAATTTTGATTATTCGAATCGTTCATATTTTATAATTTGTCATATATATTATATTCGTAAATCAAATTGATCGAAAATAGAAAGAACTAAAAATCATTTATTAAAAAAATTTAATAAATAATTTTATTATTTAATAAAACTTTTGATTTATGTAATTTTTGATATCTGATCGATTTGATTTTTTATAAGCATGATATATATGACAAATTTTAAAATATGAACGGTTCAAATCATTAAAATTAGACTTAAAAGTCAATCTCAAATAAGAAGTTAAGTAGGAAAAGGAAAAAATCGTTGCTCGATATGATTAGGCTGACTTGTACAGTTTCTTTTAGTGTAATATATTTCACCACTGTAGGACAGATTAAAGAATATAAAAATATGCAGATTATATGTAATTTTATAAGGGCATGGCTTCTGTCCAGTCTTTAATTGGATTGGATTGTATTATTAGATTTGTAGAGGCTTACCACGGGTCTCATTTTGATAATCTGAACCGTTCAATGTGTAGAACTCGTCGAGTACTATATGCCTGTAAAAAATCACGTTAATCGGATATCGATAGCTATGTGATCAAATCAGTTTTGTATAAAAAAAAATGGACAGTGAATAAATTATGATTGACAAAAATCTGTTTTGATCACATAGTTATCGATATCTGATCAATGTGATTTTTTACAGGAATATAGCACTCGACGAGTTCTACACATTAAACGGTTCAGATTATCAAAACGAGACCCGTGGTGGACCTCTACGAAACTCACAATGGCCCTATTTGGTAGAGCTGTGGGAAAGTATTTATAGCTTATGTGTCAACAGCTTATAACTTATAACTTTCAGCTTAAGTTGATTTCCAGCTTATTCTTAAAGTATCTCCTGCCTCACTCAAAGAATAAGCTGATTTCTGACTTCCAAAAAGCTATAAGCTATAAGTTATAAGCTAAACTAAACATATCAAAATAACTTAAATTAAGCTGAAAGCTGAAATAAGCTATAATTAAGCTCTGCCAAATAGACACAATATAATTCAATCCAATTAAGAACTGGACAGAAATCATACCCTTTTTCTAATGGGGTGTAAGCGGAAGACTGCAAGATTTGTGTAAAAAAGAAATTCTGTCCCACTACTGGAAGGTAATTCTCCCTTTCTTCAATTCATGATTCGGTTTTTGAAATAAGTGAATTGCACTTTATGATTTATTCTGTAATTTATAATTATAAATTTAATTTTAAATGAACCAAATCATTTACACCACCGCTACGTTAAATTAAATATAGATAAATTTAGTTTTCTTAATTGATCTCAAATGTTTGATTTGAATTTTTCAAAAATTACATTTTTTATTTTCTATTTTTAATGAATATTTTAAAAAATTTAAGTAATTTTTTATTTTTTTAGATACACCTTAGATGTATCTAAAAAGTAAAATATTTAAAAAAATGTTTTAAAAAATCAATAAATACATAAGAATACAAAAAATATGCTGAATTTTCATATTTTTTTGTATTTTTAGTATTTCGTGAATTTTTTTAAAGATTTTTTTTCACAAATATTGTACTTTTAAGTATATTTATATTAGGTATATTTAAAAAAATTAAAAAAATGCTTAGAATATTAAAAAATTAAATGAAAACCAAAAAATACGAAAAATAAAAAATTTCAGGTAACGTTTGGTAAAGTTTTAGAATTATGATTTGAGAATAGAATTATATTTTGAGTTTGTGAGTTTTGAAATTATGATTTGATTGTGAAAAATTTGTTTGATTATGAGTTTTGAAAAAAGTTTTGAATTGAGTTTGAAATTTTTGATGTGGAATATGATATCTGATTAAAAAACTTACAACTAATAACCAAACACACAACTCAAAATTTTATTCAAAGCTCATAAAAATTTAAAAAAAATCGAAAATATTTTTTATTTAAAATATAAAAATAACAGGTGCCAAAAAAAAAAAAAAACGAACACTATTCCGGTCAATCGGCCTGCCAAAAGTCTAGGTGGATGACCGGGTAGGCATATTTTCAATAGTGGATGTGGAATCAATTTTTGAAAACTCTCACCGAACGCCACACTCAAACCAATGGATGAAATTAAATTTATAAAGCTCTACCAAACAAAGTTTAAATTTTTTGAAAAGTGAATTCTGAAACTTCAAACCAAACCAGCTGAATACTTTCAAAGTTGAATTTTTATTTGTATTTTTATATTTTTAAATCTAGAAGTTGACAAGTTTGGTAATTTATTTTAGTATTATACACACCCAATGGGTATTAAACGTAAAAATTATAAATAAAAAGAGGAAAAAGGACGGCGAAGAAATTTTTTCATATTAATTTCAACTAAAACACATAGAGCAAAGGGAAAGGGAGCAAACACTATTGGAGTACAAATTATCCTGCACCCAATTTTCCAAATGAATATTATTTTGCCAAATTGATATAGAACTAGAGATATGAGAAATCTAGGTAGGTCAACTATGTGTTTGATCTTGAATTTGCAGAAGACAAAAAAAGGGTCCACAAATCAAAGACAAAAACACAGCACAATTTTTTAACAGTGATCTATTGCATTTTGGTGGAGAAGGGATATTACTGTGCCTAAGGCATAACAGTTATTGTTGCGCCATTTATGAAAAATTGTCTCGAGTGTTTTTCGATAATCTAAATAATTCATATTATAGGATTCGTCGAGTAGATCATTCATACAAAAAATTAAATTAATTGAATATTTGTAACCCTATACCCAAAACACATTTGTTTTTATAAAAACTAACGGCTTATATAACTTTTATAAATTTTTAAAAATAATTAGGACCTAATCATGGGTTATGAATATCTAATTAACTTGATTTTTTACATGAATAATAGGGGTACTGTTGTGCCTAAGGAACAATAGTTATTGTTGCGCCCTTTGTGGGAGGTTGTCTCGAGTGTTTTTCGATGATCTGAATCGTTTGTATTGTAGGGTTTGTCAAGTAGATTATCCATACAAAAAATTAAATTGATTGAATATCTATAGACCTATACCCAAAGCACATTTGTTTTTATAAAATTTAACGGTTAACATAACTTTTATAAATTTTTAAAAATAATTAGGCCCTAACCATGGGGTTATGAATATCCGATTAACTTGATTTTCTATAAGCATAATAGTCTGAACAAACCATATAATATAAACGGTTCAGATTATCGAAAAACACTCGAGACAATCACCTACAAAGGGACTCTTGTGCCTTAGACACAGCAATACCCCTTCTCATTGGTGTTGGTTGAGGGATTTGAAGAGAGATTTAGAAAGAGAAATGAAAAAGGTAGGTGAAATGTGAATAAAATAAACATATATTTCACTTAGTTTCATACATCTTTTTATTTTTTCTTTTCTTTTTCAAATCTCTCCTTAAATCCTCCAACTAAATACATGAACTAAATACATGAATCTTGCTTAAATGTTGGGGGTGTTTGGGAATCCAAAGTTGAGGCTAAAATAACCTCAAGTACAAAAAAAAGTCAAATAGCCTACTAAACTAATAATTTATATTTATAAAAAACAAAAAACCAATGCAGCTGGCAGTGGGTAGGGCCAGCATAGTCCCACAGGCCGAATTGACACTTTTGCCTCTATAGGCCAATTTTGGAAAAAGTAAAGTTAAGGATAAATTTATCATTTCAACCTCAAATAATATTTCAAACACATTTTTTAATACAACAACTCAAATAAAAATCTATTCTATCTTTTCAAACACAAAAACTAAAATAGCCTACTAAAATAATAAAAAAAATTAAAAAAACTTCTAAAATAATCACTTCCCAAATATTCACATTATGTATGCCAAAAGAGAAGCATGTAGGACCAAATACATAGTAGAAGCAATGAAAAATGGCACTTTTTTTTTTAATTTTCTTTAATAACTGTATTTATTAATCTTTACATAAGCAAGAAAGCTTCAATTTAAATAGTTATTAGCAACAGAAAGAATTGTCAAACCAAAAGCATATTACATACAATGGGTTTTTAAAGCTATCTATGAACATAACACCATAATTATACTAACCAGAGATGAATTAGGCTAAGTTTGGGAAGACTAAATAAGTGTATTTTTTGACTTTTTTTATATTATGTGTAAAAAAAAATAAAAAGAAGATATTGATTGATGTGATCTAAAAAAGATAAAAAAAAATGAAATAAGTGTATTTTTTTTAAGTTAGCCAAACTTAACCTTAGTTGATGGGTTTTGATGATGATGTGAACAGAAAGAAGTTGTTGTTGTTGGTATTGTTGTTTGCTGTGAGAGTAGCAGAATAAATAGTCATGGTTTGAAAATGTTAGGTATTGACAAAGCCAGTTCATTTCCTTATACTCTCTTTCTGTAGTCGTATATTCATGAATCCACTATAAAATAGGGCTGAGCAAGGAATTCGTGAAATTCGTAATCCGATCCAGTCCAGTCCAATTCGATAGGTTTGGATTGGTTTTTTGAATCCGTGGTTCGGTTCCGGATTGAAAAATTAAAAATCCGTAGTACACGGATTGGTTCCGGATTGAACTCCACGGTTCCGGATTGGAACCGATCCGGACCGTATACAAATAGTATATATTTTTATTATACATCCTCCCCCATAATATCTTCTCTTATTCTATATAAAATCTAAACTCAAACCTAAAACCGTATAATATCTTCTTTTATTACTTTTGTTTGTTAGTTTTTAGTTTTAATTTGTAATGATGTAAATACTTATGGTGAAACCAGTTTTCTTATGGTTGTTTAAATTCTAGCACAGTATGTCGCTA